GATGAGATGGAAATAAGTGATGATGGTGATGACAATGAGAGTGTAAATGGTGAAGATGATGAGGCAAGTGATGATGGGAGTCCTCTCGATTCCTCCATCCAATTTGTGTTTAATTTGAGGAATGCTCAACAATACACTATCCTCCGTCATCATGATCAATTCCGGAGGCCTAACGATTGTAATGATCCAAGATTTCATACACGGTTCCAAAAGTCCGTGTATGCACAAGTGTATGCCAACAAAGCCTTCGCCGAACACAAGTGGATTTCTTGGAGGCACATTGGTGAGACACCGGAGTTTGAGAATTTGCAAGAGATGTTCCGGACCGTTGGGATTGATAGAATTGTCACCATGAAGCAACCTTTTGATGAAGATCTCATCCGGCAATTCTATGCCACCGTATGGGTGTCCGGCGATTGTGATGCAATGAAGTGGATGTCGGGGACCCTCCGATGCTCTATCAACTGCCGTGAATTCAAGGAGTTCTTGCACATTCGCTTCAACAACGGGGATGACCTTCATGATGAGCACACCCACAACCCCTTCCCCATTGATCACTTTTCTCAGTTTTATGAAGAAGGGGGAAGGCACACATATGGCAAGGTGGCGGGTTTGAGGGCTCTCCCAAGTGTGATCAACAGCATAGTAAGGGCCACCATCCTCCCAAGATGCGGCAACAATGATGACATACGCGGAGTTGCTTGGCATGTTATTGATGCCATTATGGATGGTCGTCGGTTTGATGTTATCAACCTTATGATGAAGGAGATTGTCATCTCAAAGGGGACTCTTGGACAAGGAATCTATTATGCTCCATACATAATGAGGTTGATTCAAAGCAAGTTGGGACAAATTGGTCACAATTTAAAAAAACATAAGGAGTACAAGCCTCGTCTCCAACTCTCCTCCCCTAGAGCTCCTCGTGTGCGCCAACCAACATTCGATCAAGGTGCAAGCTCAAGTGCAGCCCCCCCTCCTCCTCAAGGGTATGATCCAAGTGCTTTTTTCCATCCACAATATGCCTACTTTGGAATGCAACCCAATGACTTCTTCAACCCGGTCCTTGGGGCTATTAATACCCTAAGTGAAAGCATTCAACGCTTATCCACTGGGCATGAAGCATTGCATGAGGATGTTCGTGGCTTGCGCACCGATGTTGGCAACTTGAATACTTCGGTGGGAAGATTGCATACTAGGGTGGGTGTATTGGATTCTCGAGTCCAAACCTTAGAGAGTACCCAAGCTTTTGTCTATCATCGCCGCCGTGATGCTTCTCATCCTTCCACTTCGGCGCGTCCTCCTTCTCCTCCACAAGAGTGAAGACCTTTTTGGTGCTTGATGCCAAAAGGGGGAGAATAGTGTGTTCTATGTTTTGTGGGTTGGGACTAGTAGTAGTGAGGTTAGTCACCTCATTTTTAATAGGTTAAGGAGGATTGGGCTATATTTGGTATGGGTATGGGCTATTACTCTATATTGTGTGTTCCTTTTTCGTTTTGTTGTTCTCTATGTCATTTGGACCCTTCGTGGTCTTGTAATAGCCTATATTTATTTGTGAGCCCTTTATGTGGTCTTAATGTGAACTTGTGCTATGATGGATGATTGGTGTGACATTGATATATTTGTGACCATCTTATGCTCATGGATGAATATTTCTTGAAGTTCACATTGAGATATTGCTCTTGTGTTTGTGATATGTTGAAATGTGAAATTGAATTGTGCATTGGCTCCATATTTGCTATTTGTGATTGTTATGCATATGTTTAGGGGGAGCTTTTGCTTGTCAATACAACATATGTCCATGTGCTCTATGTTTGATTATATATATTTGTGGTGTTTGTCATCAATTACCAAAAAGGGGGAGATTGAAGCATCTAGGCCCCCGGTGTTAATTTTGGTAATTAATGACAAGCACTAATTGTGGACTAACCGTTGTCTTTGAGCTATACATTTTAAGTTAGGTCCACGTCATATGTGCGCATGGATAATTATCGATGGATTAAAATTGACGGCGCAAAGCAAAGGGAAAGAAGACGGTAAAACTAGCGCTTTAATTTAGAATTGATCGAGGTGTAGGGCGATCAAATTTGCTAGTTTAATTTTAGTTTCGCCGTACTATTAAGAGGGGTAATGACCTAGCAAAGAGATTATTTTAATTGCCACATTAGGTCATTGCATTTTCATTTGTGCTCTCTTTTTCGTTACACACACATTCACTAATTCACTGGGTTCGGCCTGACCAGGGGCGGTCAGACCGGCCACATAGTGGCGGTCTGACCGGCGTGCCCTGGCCGGTCAAACCGGCTACATAGTGGCGGTCTGACCGGCGGCACTTTCCCGGTCAGACCGGCCCCCTGGAGGCCGAGATGATGCTGCTCGGGATGGCCGATACAGAGCCGACGGAGCCGTAGTCAGTCGGACCGAGCCAATGGCGGTCTGACCGAGCCGAGGATGGTCTGACCGGTCGCCCCATGTCGGTCTGACCGGCCAGGCCGATGGGGCCCTCTGACAGGGCTACAACGGCTAGTTTTCTAGCCGTTGCAGAGTAGCACGGTCTGACCGGCCACATACCTCCGGTCAGACTGGCAGAGCACAAAGTTGGGGGATTTCGCCCCCAACGGCTAGTTTTAGTGGGTGGGAGTATAAATACTCTCCCACCAGCAGCAAGGGGACTCTCTTGGCACCCAATTCAATTGCATACACTCCTTGCACCTCTCTCACACTCACTTGAGCTTTGTGTTCATCCATCTAGTGTGTTAGAGGGTTGTTTAGCCAAGAGTCAAGTGCATTTGCTTCCATTGTAGAGCTAGTGTGGCACTTGATCATCTCCACACCGGGTCATTGCTTGTTACTCTTGGAGGTTGCCGCTTCCTAGACGGCTTGTGGAGGAGTTGCCCGGTGACCTCTCCGAGAAGATTGTGGAGGAGGCCCGGCGCCGGTTTGTGAGTGGTTTGGAGTTCACCACCTTCGGAGTGAAGGAAGAACTACCCCGAGTGATCGAGGCTTGGGTAGTCCTCTCCGTGGGCCGGCTCCCGCCTTGCCCACCCCTTGACGAAGGGGGCGTGCGGTGGCTTCGTGGTTGAGCGGTGGAGTTGGGCTCACCTCAACGGGGAGTAGGAAACCGGCGAGTTTCCGAACCTCGGTGAAAAATCTCTTGTCTCATTGTCTCATTTGATTGTCGCATTTACATTTGTGCAATTTACATTTCTAGAGACACACTTGAGATCATATCACCCTAGGATTGCAAAACATTGACATAGGAGCGTGATTTACTTTTCTAGAGATATAATTGAGCCACTATCACCCTAGGTTTGCTAAACATAACTTAGTTGCTTAGTTAGAGTTCACTCTCACCAAGCCTAGCAACTTAGGTTAGATTTGATTAGGTGTTATTTAGTTTTAAATCGCCTATTCACCCCCCCTCTAGTCGATATCTCGATCCTACAGGCATACGGCTAATAAACCATGGAGAAAATGAATGGTGTAAACCAAAGCAATTTATTTTCATAATGATTCAAAGTTAACACTAGTAAAAAATAAGCTATGATAAAAAAAACATCTCAAATCAATTTTAAACCGTTAGGTATCTTAGCTAAGGTGGATAAGGCTACGTTCATTTGGAATGGTTGGGATATTTTTCTCCATGCAGGCAAAACAATGCGAATTATTAGCACATGACTAATTAAGTTTAACTTAAAAAATTAGAAATTAAATTAATTAATATGTTTTTCTCTAGCAATTTTTCAATTTTTATAGAGAAATGTAGTATCGTTTAACAGTTTGGAAAGCGTGGTAGAGAACGAGAGAGTAAAAGCTAAAAAAAATAGAGAAACAAATTCTTAAAGCAAGTTTAATAGTATGCTATAAACTTATATATGGAGGAGAGGAAAAAAAAGAGAAAAGTATTAGCTATCATGTAAGAGCCCGCTCTTTACATGGTTAATATAATGTACTAGCTATCATGTGAAGAAGCGATAGAAAAAGAAAATTAAAGATAACCTTATAACTCATATATTTATATAATTTAGTTTTAATATTAAACTTATATCTAGTTGATTCTAAACTACTCCTTTCGTTTCATGTTATAAGTTGTTTGATTTTCTTCCTAGTAAAAAATTATCAAGTTTGATCAAATTAGTTTCAAACTTTATCAAACTTAAAATTGAATATATTTCGATAATATATTTGTTTTGTGTTAAAAGTATTATTATGAGTTGGTTTGGTTTGTGGCCTAAATAGGCCTTACCAAATTTTTGTCAGTGCCAAATTTTGGTAAGTTTTGGCATGACTAATTTTGGTAAGGCAAAGTTGTGTTTGGATTGAAGTCAAAATAGCCTAAATTCACTATTGAAATGGCCTATTTTCTTAGGCATGCCAAAATTTGGCTTCAAACTAAATAGACACTAAACACTATTGAAATTGCCAAATATTGGTAAGCCTAATTTAGGCCTAAAACCAAACCAGTCCTATATTTTCTATAAATTTTATAAAATTTAAAAGAAGTTTAATTAAAAAAAGTTAAAACAACTTGTATTATGAAATGAAGGAAATACTACTACCTCCGTTTTAGTTTACAAGACGTTTTGATTTTGATCAAAGTCAAACTATAATATTTATAATACCAAATTAGTTTCATTAAATCAATAATTAAATATATTTTTATAATAAATTTGTTTTGGGTTGAAAATATTTTTTTTCTATAAATTTAGTTAAACTTGAAGCAGTTTAATTTTTGATCAAAATTAAAACGTCGTACAACTGAAACAGATAGCGTGTCTTAACAGTTTGACGAGAATGGTTGATATGCCCTGAAATGGTCCTCCAAGTGAGTGACAGTAATTCCACGCTCGCACGCACGCATGGGCGGTGGTGCTGGTGGTGTGTATTCACTGTTTAGGCCTCAGACCGACCATCCGAAATCCCCGATTGTAATTAAAGCATGCCACGCTAGCACCTCCATATGATCCATCTACCCCCCTTCATAAATTCTCTCCCCTCTTCTCCTCTCCTCTCTCGCCTTCCCTTCGCCTCGTCTTCTCCTCCACCTCCACCAAACTCCTCCCCCCCCCCCCCCCAACCAATCTTCCTCGAATCCTCCGGCTGCGCCACCACCCACCCCGCGCGCGTCGTCGTCGTCTTCGTCGTCTCCGCCGCCGGCTGCTCGATTGGCGCCGGCCAAGGAAGCGGCGAGGCGGATTCACTGCGAAGGCGATATGGCGGCAGCAGCAACGGCGGCCGACGCCGGCTCCGATCCCTCCGCGGCCCTCGCCGCCGCCGCCGCCACATCCACCTGCGCCCACTGGTTCGTGCGGCGCGATCCCCCCCCCCCCCCGCGCCCCACCTCCCTCTCTCGGCTCGGTTTGTTTGTTTGTTTGTTTGTTTGTTGCTTTTCCCTGTCATGTGGCGTGTGCGTATCGGTGGAGGGGGGGAGGTGAGGCTGCTGCTCTGATTCGTTGTTTGATCTCGTGTGGGAGTGGATCTGAGCTGAGGATGAGGATCCGATCGATTCGATGAGCGTTTGCGCTATCGGAATAGAATAGAGGCTTCTCCATCGTTGCAATGTAATGGATCGAAGTTCATCAGACAATTATAGTATCGTGTTCCTAAAAAAAATTGAGGAATAATCTATTCATTGGTCTACGAAACAAAGTACATAGGCTGTAATTACGAGTGAGTGTTTTTTTTTCATAAAGAGCAAAATTTATTGTTGCTGGGACTTTTATCTGGAATTGTTAGCACTCAGCAGAAGCAACTGCATACCCTTACAATTGAACTAAGGTAGCACTGATTCCGTTAGAAACCACCAATTTGGTTTGAGGAGAACGGAGCTCATTTTATGCTTGGTTAATGCGCTTACGGGAACTGGGGATAGTGCTTGCACTGGGTTTGCAGACCATTGTTTCATCAAACTAACCCAGTGCTATTTGCAGAAACCAAATGGATAATAATGGATCATCGTTTGGCATATTTAGTACCAGAGCACTTCCGATGCATTTCTTCGTATTAATGCGATATACAGTTTGCTTGCTTTTACACTTTCTGGGTTTGTTTCTAATCTCATAAAAAAATATGCATGATATTAGTTGGAGTGCTATGGGATCAGCAGCTTTTAGTTTCAGAATTTTTCTACCTGCTACCCTTAGTCAAGGCTAGCTCAACACAATTTATGATATGTGGTGCGGTGCTGATTTCATGAGCATCATGCCCATTCTTCATTTGCCATGTTGGATGGTAGATACAAATTTTAGTTTTGTTTACGTGTTCTTTCTTTTTCAGCCAGCGAGAAATTCCATCGTCAAACATTGACTTACATTCGGCACACTGCGCACGTAACCTTCAAAAGTGTGAACACTGTGGAGAAATGGTGGCCAGAAAGCTTATGGACGAGCACTACAATGAAAGCCATGCTCCAGTATGTTCAAAACCTCATCATAAATCTTGAGTTTTGGGCTTTCAAAACATTATACCATACTTGTGATTTGCTTGGGATGCTTCCATTTCAGTGCTATCTGTTTATTTATCTTAGGACTCAGTTGAGCAATATGTTGGCACTTGACAGTTGACTGCACCAATTAGGACTTTCTTTTGTGGTACTCTTAGAAAGTTGTATTACTTGATGCAATTCGAGGGATGTGATTAAACCTTTTTTTAGTTTAAAAGGGGAATATAGCCTATTTCTCTGTTACATAATCAAAACTGAAATAGGTTTTGACAGTGGCCCATGTTCTGGATTCCCTTTCTGAAAAAGAAAAACAGAGAGAGAAGATCCCTGCACATCTGGCATCTCCTCTGTAACTCTGTTAGTGGGACCTGCAGTTGTCATTAACTCCTGAAAAATACGGCTTCCACTATCTCATGGCACAATTCTCCATGAATGAACGTGCAAAATTTAATGTATACATAGTTACATACCAAATTGCTTACCATTGGTCATTGGCGTGAAAACTTAGTTACTAGCCAAATGCCTGTGCGCTGCAAAGGTAACAATCTCCCAACCAACATAAAAGAACTAATTTCAAAGTGCACTGTAATTTTCTAATATTTAATTATAATCAAGAGAGTATTTCTATAGTAGAGTAACCCTGGAGTTTTTTTGTAGTTGTGCATCTACAACTCCAGTTACATGTTGGAGTTTCATAGTAACTTCTGGGTACTCTCTACATGTTGGATCAAAGGGTGGTTCTGTTATTCCATCTCATATTTTCCAGCTACATGGTAGCTTCGAGCTTCATAGGTAGAAGAGGTGGATAGATGGAGTAGTTTTTGGTAATGTGTAGACTCGGATTCACCGTCACCACTACACTCTTTTAAAGTAGTAAAGATGAACATGAGATTGCCTGCGCTATTGAATATATCACTGCCATAGTTGGATGATGAGATCTCCAACCTATAATTTAATTGATCATTTTAGGTACATATTTACTCTTCACAATAAGCTTTAATATTCTTAAACTCTTTCCGTAGAGGGGTTACTGGTTTTTGAAGCAAGCAAAGCATGCAGCAATAATAATAACTAAATGTGTGAGGCTTACAGTTATAAACAAGAACAATTTTCGTTCCATAGCTACCAAAATCATGCCATGAGGCCACATGTTCAATTGCATGAACTGAACTGCATTATGCCTGCGACTTTAGGATCGCTGTGGAACGACACCTGAACTGCACGAATTGGCCAAATCAGTGACCCTATACACCAAGGGGCAGAGAGTAGGGGAAGGGAAGAGGGAGCACGAACTGTAGCTACAGCCGTTGCTTTTTGTGTCAATATGTCTGTCTCCACCATAATTTCTTCACATGTTGCTCGCTGAAGCCACTGTTGTCTCTTTGCTATTTGAAGCCACCACACCAAGGATATGAGGCATCAGCAGCGTTTCCTGGATTGTATCCAGAGTCTCATTACAAAGGAAAAGAAAGGGAAGGGTAGAGCAAGAGGGAAGCACTGTGGCATGCTGGTTGATGGTGGGACAGTGTGGCTTTTTTTGTGGAATAACTAATTGCACACCACAAACCCCATACACCATGGTTGTGGTTGCTATGCTTCATCCAACCATCATCAGCCTGTAAACTTTTTGTTGTACGTACAAATTGGATACACGTTCTGTTATGTTTGCCAAATGCATGATATTTTTGCGTACCAACTGAAACCAGGAACTAATGCCACATTACAATTCCATATACAATAGTAAGAATATTAGAATTTACATGTTCCATGATCTATAGAGCAATTGTATTTTTTCGGCAATGTATGATCACTCTAATCATGTTACATACAGGTAAATTGCACTCTTTGCAAGGAAATTGTAACACGCGAGATCTGGGATCTTCATAAAAGTGAACAGTGCCCACAAAGGATTGTTGCATGTGAATATTGTGAGTTTGAGTTGCCTGCGGTTGAGCTTCATGAACATCAGGTGCTGTTTTGTTGTTTGCCTTGAAACAATCTCTCTCTTTTTTTTTTACTAACAGTATGCCCGTGCCTTCGATTTATAACAAGTAATATACTATAAGATCTAGAGCTAATTGCAAAAATAATTGCCCTTAATTCTGAAAATTATACACAAGACTATATGGCATCAACCAAATACCTTATAATACACACAATATGTAAGGAATACATCTTTTTTTTTAAGTCGTAGATATATGTTTTAATCGTACTAGTTTGAGATGCAGGATGTATGCGGAAACCGAACAGAATTTTGTCAAACATGCAAGAAGTATGTTAGACTACGTGAATGGATTGGGCATGAAATACAGTGTCATGCAAATGCAAATGCAAATGCTTCTGCACAGACATCAAGGTAAAATCTTAGGCGTTTCTCTTAACACATGCTGATTTTTTATCGTTAATGTAACCTTGGTATGATGTAATGTATAATTCTTATCATTTTAATACGAGAGTTGCATACTTCTTTGACTGTTCATTTTCAGTGAAGGTAGATTTTCTCAAGCTAAATTATTGCAATCTATTATATGCAAATTATATACACTTAGCATTTGAGCCTTGATCCCTGCATTCTTTAGTCAATGTAGGTCAGATTCATTCAATAATTCAATTAGATGTTTCCCACTTCTTTCAAGATGATAATGTGTATCAGAGTAATGGAACTGGTGCTTTGTATCCTGATGATTCTTGTTTATACCTTTCATGATTAGCAAGATGTTACTAGCAATTTTACTAGTCCAAATGTGAAGTACTACAAATCTTGTACTGATAAGATGCTTCAAATTTCAGTGCCCGAATCATTCCAGAGAGAGAAGTGCGTCCTCCTCCACCAGTAAGACCGCCACGGCCTATGCATGGTGCACAGCACAAGCGTCTGCTCTTCACAATTGCGGTGACTGGAATCGCAGTTATGATTGGTTCGATACTTTTTCAGAGGGAGGAGAGTTTCTAAGTCCAGTGTCTATGGTCTCTCCCCATCGAGTTGATTCCAACAGCAACAGCATAAAGAGTTACCTTGATGTATAATTTACCCCTCATAATCAGTCTATAAAATCACTTTGTTTGTTTGATAGTACAGTCCCTGGCATGGCTTTGTTAAAAGAATTGAAATAACCATGAAGATGCCCATTATTCTCAGTGGTATATCAAGACCTTTGAAGCAATTTCTATTTTGAGTTCAAAGGGTAATTTAGTTCAGTTGAACTGGCAATTTGTCGCTCCTATGTTGTAGCGGCAGAGGGGTCCTCCATGCTACAGGGCTATTGCTAGTACTTTTCAAAAAAAAAAAACCTTTTAATTTAAACTTTTAAAAATAAAACTTCTGAAACTTAATTTAAAAAGATCTTTTGGTCAAATTGGTGCCACGCCCATGGTTTTTAACGGCATGGCAGCATCCTTTTACCATGGCAAAAGGTTGCCATCTGGATGCAAGTTTTGAGAGAATTTATTTTAAAAAAAGTTTAAAAAATATTGTCATCTCTCTCTACTGTTTGTTCATATCTTCGAAAGATAATAATACTAGCTTGCAAATTAAAATAAAGAAAAACAGTTTGCAAAACATATTATAGCCCCATCGTTTCGCTTCAAGATGATTGTAGGCACTAACATTTATTAATGATAAAAACTAATTTGTGAGTCAAAATTTTATATATGTGTTGTTAATGACTTAAAAGTTAATGAAAAAAATAAACCGTAATAAAAAAACCAAAATGGACTTTAAATATTTAAATTTTGGTTACGGCAGATAAGCTGAAGAAACAATGAAGCTATAAAATATCTAAATTAATTCTAGTAAATTATCATAGCTAACTGTAACGCCAAACAAAACCGTGGCAAAAGTACGGTTTTGAGGATGCACAGTCCTATTTGGGATACATTGCAAGGGCCTAAAAAGCCTAAAAATAGGACATGATTCAATTTTTTTAAAAAAAACAATTAATTGTTTTTTTCTGAATTTTTTTAACCAACCCACTTGATTTTTTTTTCTAGTTTTATTGAGAATGGGTGGTTGTGTGTACTTGTGTCCATAATTTGACAGGAAAAAGGAGAGAACAAACCGTGTTTTTATAATAATAGAGATATTATTTTTACAAACAATATAACTGTACTAAATTATTTTTGCCGTGTGATAAACACCGAACACGACGCGACCAAACCGTACTAAATTGCCTTACCAAACCGTACAAGGAAGGGCATTATTATTCAGCTCGCATTTGCATCCGTATAGTTGGCATGTAGTCCCATTGCCAGAGCTACACGCGGGTCCAAGACCAAAAAAACAAGATGGACCCAGAACTCATTCATGGCATTCTTGCCGGGACAATTTTTTTTGTAGTACCTCGGATGGATGCATCGATCAGCGAATTAACGCTGATGATCAGTACGCCGCAGTTACTACGTCGTAACTGAAACGGGTAATTAACCTCAGCTATGATCTCCTATACTACTCCCTCCGTTTCACAATATAAGTCATTCTAACATTTCTCATATTTATATTGATGCTAGATTCATTAACATCAATATAAATGTAGAAAATGCTAAAATAACTTACATTGTGAAACAGGTGAAGTACAAAATAAGCTAATATGGTGGCTGCATCCTTGTCCTCCCTGGATACTATGGATAGGTCGAGATTAATGGCACCATGTGATGCACTTGCCGATTGACATGTACTAGTACTAAGTGCATGTAGAAATAAAATTTTACTGAAACATTATAGAAGTTAATTAGATGTTAATGCCCTCTCTTTCTCTCTGTGTGTGTGAGAGAGACATTAAGATCCAGGTTGGTCATTGGTTGTTGTTGATGCATGATTAATGTACTAGAATTTGTTGTTTTCAATACAACAAAATGCAAACCTTTTTTCCCCCTCCTGTGGGAGGCGAGAGCAAAACTGCAAAAGTCATTTTGGATCCTGATTTTTCGCAAAAAGGTTCAAAGCGAGTACTCACATGGCAATTATACCATCTAACTTAGCTTTCCATGCTTTTTCTTGCATGTATCATGTATGCATTTCTTTTCGTTGTCTGAATGATGTTTGTGAGCTCATTATTTCTCTTAGAAAGTTGACATTTCACTTCGGGACAACAAGGAGCCAACGATGAACAGAAAAAGAACTAATCGAGACAAGCATAAACTGTATTATGTAGTACTTAGTACTAACCAACATTGGTCTCTAACCGATCAGAGAATCAACACACAAAGTGACACCGATTAATTTCAACCAAAGCTATCGTATTTCTCTACTCTCATTTGGACCGCACCATGAGGAAAAACCTAGACAACTAAAAATATCGTAAAAGGATTTAGTACTTCCTCTGTTTCACATCATAAAATATTTCGGGGTTTTTTTAATAGATTCATATATGGATACATGTATTTTGTTTCACGTATCTATCTAAATTTATATAGATGTTATTAGTGAATCTAATCGATGCATCGAGAGACCAAAACGTCTTATAACATGCATATGCAGAGGTGTGGTGCACACACGTACCGTCTGAAATGAACCAAAAGCAAACAAAAGTAGATTCAGCATGACATGTGGCAGCATCCAGCGCCTACGATGCGGCGGCGAGTGTGGTCCGGCATGCCGGCCGGCGCCTCCGGCCGGCTCCGGTGGCCGCCACCGGCCGGTGTTGCTAGCTAGGCGAGCAAACGAGCAAAGGGACAAAGAAGCTGAGGAGAGAACAAAACAAAAGGGAAAGGGAGAAGGTAGTGGTGGTGACCCCCACGGGCCATTGGCGCGGCGCAACGTACGGCCCAACAATCCAGCCAGCCAGCCAGCCTGCCTGCCAGCAACTGCCCACTTTTAATCAAACAAAAAATCGGCACCAAACACTTTATTAGAGGGTTTAATAATCTGCAAATGTCTTTTTCTTTTTTCCGTTCTCTGTCATGTTAGTACTGCACTTGATAAGTCTCAGATTTGTACGAATAGATGATGCCCCATAAGGAGTATTAATCGTAAATTGATATATTTTGTGACGAAGGAAGTGACATAGTGGCCTTTCTTATTTTATATTGAAAGTAATATAGGAAAAATAGATATATTGAGGGTCCCTTTGAATCGCAGGATTGAAAAAACGTAGGAATAGGAAAAACGTAGGATTTTGGTAGGAATGTAAGTGTAAAACAGAGGATTGCAAAACGCAGGAAAAACACATGAATGACCGTTTGATTGAACCGCAGGAAAAACGCAGGAATTAGATGAGAGAGATAGACTCAAAGGAAAGTTAGCAAGAGGTTGAAGCTCTTGCTAAATTTCCTCCAAAATCTCTATAGGATTGTCCATTCCATAGGAATTTCAAAGGATTGGATAGGATTCAATCCTTTGATTCAAAGGGCTTCATAGGAAATTTTTCTATAGGATTGAAAGGGGCCCTGAAAGTTTCTAGATAACCCAGCACACGTAGTCATAAAATTTGATGACATGTAAAAACGTGCTAATGTAATAAATAATAATGTTATATAGGAAAAGAAAACCTAATGAATATTTGCACGTTTCCTATTATCTACGTAGTAGTAGTTTTTTTTTCAGGACCTATCTTAACAATATAAATTGGTCATTAGTAATGACAAAAGATCTTCCCAAAGTAAGTGATAAGTAAATTAGGATGTGTCATATCCGGTACGAGGTTAGTTTATTTTGGGACGGAGGGAGTATATAAGTAGTCATGAATAGATTAACCTTAATACATAGTGCCCTAGGATTTGCTCAAAATTTGTTTTTTCCTTTAAAATAAAGTTAAATTTGGACTTGAGATTTCGTGGTAATGTAGTTCACGCTTATACTTATCTTTATAAATTTTTTATATAAATTTGGAGAACTTTTAGATTTGATTTTCACTGGTTTTTCATATAAATTTTCATGAGTCACCATCGTTGTCCTACAACTACAAGCACAAATACTAACCAATAAATTGGCAATTCCTAACATTAACCTTTAGTGCACCTACATTTTCCTCCCTACTTCATAAGAATCATTAATGGTACATCAATGTACTTTTTGATTGCTAACATTGATTAGATTTTTGTTGCGTTCCTTTCATTTGTGTCGTTGTCATGGTCTTGGCTCGTTACACATTTACATTTTCATACCTCTGTGATTGACATTGGATCATAGAACGTAGTCACAACATGAGTGAGACAGAAATAAAGTAATCAATGCACAAAATCTTGTAGAAACCTAGGTGTTCAAGAACACCCGCAATCCTATAAAGAAGTTTGGATATGGAAAAAAAATTAATGGTGAAAGGATGCTATAATTTTGAGATAAAAAAAAAGAGCCATCCCACAAGTCTCTTTATAACTAAATCCTCTTATATTATCCTTTATTTTAAAAACTAGATCTTCTTAAACCAACTTCGGTGCGAGTATAGATCGAATAATGGTTTTAGAGGATTGAGTGGAGCATAAAACCGACATCTATATTAGGCCATGTTTGAATCCAAACTTTCCTAATTGCGATTCGGCGAAGTCGCGTTATAATACCCATCAACATTAATTGTGAAGGTTATCTGAATGATACAGTGCTAGTATCCCTCGTGACAAGTGACACCTGTTTTTTATTAAATTACATCTATTTTAATCCATATAATAGAATCGCCGAGATCACAGTCGATTCACACTATAGCAGCGCAGCGTAAGCCTGCTAAAACCCACATCAACCAAACCAAACCATCACCTACCAACCAGTGTAGTAAACTCGTCGGCTACTCGCTACTACTACTTGCTCGAGCAGGCGTACGATACGATTACAACGCAGCACGCACACGAGGCGAGCAAAAGGCTCCAAAGCGAAGCCAGCTGCCAAAGCGGAAGCAGCAGCGCAGCGCCCCATCACACACAACACAACGGCATCCTACTCCCTCCCCCCCTCTCTCTCTTCGCTCTTCGCATCCATCCGCCTCGCTTTCCTCCCTCCCCCGCCGCCGCCGCCGCCGCCGCCCGAATCCTTCCTGTGACGGCGAGCCACCGCCGCGCTAAAACCCAAACCCTAGACCTAGACCCCACTCCGTCGCGGCCACCTCCCCCCGGGGCCGGGGCGGAGCCATCCGCGCGCCGCGCGCGGATCCGTACGCGTCGGCCGGATCCAATGCGGCGGCGGCTGCGGCCGCTGTAGCGTGGGTGAGCGGGCCCGATCTGAGGTGGTGGGAGGGAG